CGGTCGGTCCCCGCTCAAGACGTGCGCCTCAGGAGCAACGTCAGGTTACTTTTCATCTTCGCGGCATTCTACTACCCCGACTCGGATTCGAGGTGTATTCGATGTGGATTCGGCGTGGATTCGGCAAGGATTCGACACGTCTTCGACATGGATGCGACACGGATGGTCCAGGGCGGCCTCTTCTTCACGGAGTCGTGCATCTGCCCCGATGGATGGTGGTTTTGCTTCTCCTGCTTCCTTCTCCCGAGTGCACAGGACACTCGACGGTAGCTCTAGGCCTCCCAGATCGGATCTTTGTGGATGGGGTCGGAGGATAGCGTCGCACCGCCGATGCGTCGACGTTGCTGCCCGATGTGGATCCTGATGTTCCCCACGTCGATGTCGCCGACGGATCGCTAACGTCGCCGATGCATCGCCGATGCATCGTCGATGCGGCGCGATCCTCCGAGCCCATCCACAGTCAACCCGCATGGGAAGGATGAGCGACTTTCCGAGGTTACCCTTGTGTCCTTGCCTTTTCGGCCCATCCTCGGCCGCTTTCGCTGGCCGCACCCCGCTCGCAGAGTGTCGACATGGCCTTCCAAGGCCCTTGCATCCTTATCGTGCGTCCTTGTTCCACGGGCTGGCTGTACTCGGACCCTCTCTGGGAGGCCCCCAGTGGCAGCAGAAGACGGCCCTAACGGCGCCAACTGCTGCCAGACGTGCGCATGCTTGCCGGGCTTGATCCGATTGGCCTTCCTCCCCCCCTCCTCGTTCCCCAGCGGCGGTGCCTATAGGCGCGACCCGCGGCGCCTTCCTGGCTGCGAGGGCCTGTGTTCAAGGGAGGAACACCAGCCCCGACCCCGATAGCTAGTGTTCCCTGAGCGGCCCTGGGCGTTTGCTAGACGGCCCTGCCCTGTTCGATTACTCCCCTCGGTGCGTTCATTGAACGGATTCACTTGCCGTTGTGCTTATCATTGGAGCGGAGGCCCTGCCCTCTACGGTTGTGGAAGTTGATGAATTGAGAGGAAGCATGCCCTAAACATGTAGAACCATGTGTTTAATCTTGGTTGGAACATGTTGTAAGTACATGTCGAACACATCCTTATTTCGATGATAGGATTGTCCGAGTGTCAAATGCCATGGCGCCCACAACTCTACGTAGGGCCCATAGGTCGGACGCGTCCGCAGAAGGGATGAGCGCCGCTTGTGCGCGGGAGCCAGCCCAATTGGTCACGGTCCCCACCAAAATAATGAAGGTATGACGCTCCCGCTGCTCTTCCATCGCTACGGCTGGCTTCGCCTCGATTGCAGCCTTGGTCGGGACGCACCCCAGGAGAGGTGCCTTCCCCCTTCCTCCCTCCTCCTCCCTCCTCCTCCTCCTCCTCCTCCTCCTCCACCTCCTCCTAAACCCCTCCTCCTCTCCTCCTCCTCCTCCTCCACCTCCTCTCCCACCTCCTCCGCCCCACCTCCTGCTCCTCTTTCCTGCCCTCCTCCTCCTCCTCCTCCTCCTCCCTCCTCCTCCCCTACTCTCATCATCACTCCCTCCCCCTCCTCCCCTATCCATCCTCCTTCCTCCTCCTCCTCCCCTCCTCCTCCTTTACCTCCTCACATCCTCCTCTCGTCCTTCTCCGTCTCATCTCCTCCTCCTCCTCCGCACCCTACTCCTCCGCCTCCTCCTCCTCCTCCGCCTCCTCCTCCTCCTCGTCCTCCTCCTCCTCCTCCTCCTCCCGACCAACATTTCAAGAACAAGTAATCGAGTGGCTTTCGGCCTATCCCACCACCGTGCCGGGTTCGTCGGTTCGAGCCTTTTTGGATGTTCGTTTGGATGTCGTCGGGGGCCTCTCGGGGGCCTCTTGGGGCAGTTTTGATGCCTCTTGGGGCCGTTGGGGCTCCTCTTGGGGCATCTTTTTAGGCCTCTTGGGGACCTCGTGGAGCCTCTTGGGCTCTCTTTGGGGCTTCTTGGGGCCTCCTCGGGCCCTCTTGGAGCGGAAGGCTCGAATTGTCGGTTCGTGTTCCCCCTCTTGGGCCTTTCTTAGGGCCGTCTTGGGCCCTTCGTGGGCGATCTTGTGCGCCTCTTGGGACGTTTGGGGGCCCGCTTGGGCCGCCTTGACGCCTTCTTGGGGGCCTCTTGGGTCGCCTTGGGGGCCTTTGGGGCCATCTTGGAGCGTCGGAAGCCCGCAAACGCGAGAACGCGAACGTCATAGAAAAACAAAGGGCAAATCAGTGATTTGTGCCTCTGTGGGCTCTCTTGGAGGTCCTCTTGGAGCGCTCTTGGGGCTTCTTTGGGACCTCTTGGGCCGCATTGGGGCCATCTTGGGCGTCTTGGAGCGCTCTTGGGCTGTCTTTTGGAGGCCTTGTGGGCCCTCTTGGTCGCTTCGTGGGCTTCTCTGGGCCCGTCTTGGGGCCGCCCGGCCTCTGGAAAAGTCACGCTGGGCAGCCCAGAAGCGCGCGGGGGCGCCCAGGGAATTGGAGAATTTGGGGCTCGAGCCCTCAGGATACTATCACCCCTCAGTCCTGAGCACAGAGAGCAGAGAACACGTGAGAGCCTGGGGGTAACTCCGCTGCGTGCCTCGAGGCACGGTGGCTAATAACGGCAGCAGCAGGAATGAGGCAGGCTATAGAAACAAGAGCCAGGCGAGGTGGACGGAGCAGCGGCATGGGCTCTTCCTCTTGGTCCTCGCCGTTCCTTTCTCCTGGTTCTCGCAGCAGAGAGGTTCTGGCGCTCCCCCTCTTGCGCATGCCTCCTGGACTCGCCTCCGCTCGGCCCCCCTCCCCTCGGGAGCCCCCCGACGGCGCAGGGACCACACCGTGTGGTGATCTGGTGGGCGCTCGGAGGGACCGCGCACGGCTCTGGCGCCTCGGGCGGTTCTCCGAGGACGTCTCGTCGGACGCGGCCAGGACGAGGACGAGGCCAGAAGAGCGTTCCGGAAGGCTCTCAGAGCGTTCTGAAGCGCTCCGAGAAGGCCGCGGCGCCCGAGACGTTTTTCAGAGCCGCACTATCTGGCGTCATCCTCTCCCGATGTTGCCCGCTTCCTGGCTTCGTCTTATCTCGGGCGGTGTGGGCCTCTGGGGTCCCAGGACCGTGCGGTGGCGGACCGTGCGGTGGCAGACCGCACTTTGTTGGGGTCCCGAGTCGTCCCCTCGTTGTCCTCTCCGTCCCCTCCCTGCTCCCCCCCTCCTTGGCGGCTCCTTGGCACGCAGCTGGTGCGCTGACGGCGGGTGCCGCTGCGGGCCGTGCCTCCAGGGGCACCTCCGCGGCAGGCCCCGTGGTCAGGGGGAGCGCAGCGTTTTGAACTTTGAATGGTGCTGAGCAGCATCGCGGGGGGGTGCGACGCTGGTCAGCGCCCAGGCTCGAAGAAGCCGGAACCAGGGCAGACTTTCAGAGGTCCACGCGGATGTCTTGGATTTGCGCTGGGCCTCCCAGGCGGCGCCTCAGCGCCGCCCCAGCTCCGCGCGCCAGGGAGGGGGGGTCCAGCTTGGAGCCGATTGGAGGGCTGAGGTCGGGCAGCATTGGTTTTAAGTCGGGCCTGACCCTCTACAGAGGGAATGTTCAAAATAGTCAAAAAATACTCTCAGAGCTATTTTTTGAGCATGTTTGGGCATTTGTGTAGTATGTTTGGGGTATATTAATTTTTCGCCCAAAATACCCCTGTAGGCGGACAGGCCCGACTTAACTCACCACCCACCAAACCACCCCAACCCAACCCGAAGGCTCAGATTTACCCTCGATTTCTAGTGGGGGGGGGTCCGGGAACATCGGAAAAACACATGGAGCCCATACCCCCCCCAACCCGAAATTCGGGTCTTCGGGTTGGGTTGGGGTGGTCTGGTAGGTAGTCATTAACATTGGCTCCAGCCGCCAGAGAGGGGGGGAGAGGCGCCATGGTGCCTTGGTTCCGCTCCCTGTCTGCTCTGGGCAGCATTCTCCAGATGGGGACGATCGACTGTCAAATCTGCCCCCTTTGCCCTCTGGACTCGCTTCGCTGGTGCCCATACAGAGCAGACCCCCCAACCACGTCCGGCAGCGACTAAACTTAGCCAGGGGAATCGGCTAGGCTGACCTCGGCCTGGCCTACCTCGGTCAGGCTGACCTCGGCCAGGCTGACCTCGGCCGGGCCGAGTCCAGCCGGGCCGAGTTCAGCCTGGCCGAGTTTAGCTTGGCCTAGTTCAGCCTGGCCGAGTCTTTCCCTTGTCCTCCAAGGTCCGCGGACCTCCGAAAGTTTGTGCCCGTGCAGTCGTTTTTAACTTGCTCTGAGTCAGCGCCCAGGCCGCGCGGTGCGGCCGCCAAGGGCCCGGCACCGTGAGCGGCACTCTATCGGATGCCTCACGGTGTCTTCCAATTGCGTCGATTTTCCGCCTCCGCGAGAACTGCGGAGGGTAGAGGAGGAGGAGCAGGAAGAGGAGGAGGAGGAGGAGGAGGAGGAGGAGGAAGAGGAAGAGGAGGAGGAGGGAGGAGGGGGGAAGAGGAGAGGAGGAGGAAAAGGAGGAGGAGGAAGGAGGAGGAGGGAAGGGGAGCGGAATGATGGAGGAGGGAGGAGGAGAGGAGGAGGAGGATGAGGAAAGGAGAACACTAGGAGGACAAGGAGAATGAGGAGAGGGAGGAGGAGGAGGAGGAAGGAGGAGGAGGATGCATGAGGAGGAGGAGGAGGTGGAGGAGGCAGGAAAAGGGAGGAGGGAGGGAAGAGGAGGGGGGAGGGAGGGAGGAGGGAGGGTGGAAGGAGGAGGAGGAGGAGGAGGAGGAGGAGGAGGAGGAGGAGGAGGAGGAGGAGGAGGAGGAGGGGGAGGAGGAGGAGAAGAATCGTCTCGCGTGGTCCCACTGCATGCACTGCAAAGCCCCGCTGCAAAGTGTGTCGAGCAGTCCGTTCGGTGGTAGTCCTCACGTGTCTGATTGGAATGGCGTACCTCCTGGTGTTTTCGCGGCTTCTCCCTTTTCCAACGCAGGAGGTCCTGGCTCTAAAGGCAGGGGCAAAGGCCTCGGTGGCGGTGCAGCTATGGGAGGAGGCGCTGGCGGAGGGAAGGGTGTCGCGGGACAGCCTCCGCTCCCGACCGGACCAGTGCCGAACCTCAGCCTGGCCGAGGCGAAGCAGCTTGCTGAGCTTTCGCAGAAGGCAGGGGACTCGGCCGCGTTCAAGCGTTATTCTGATCTCGCCAAGCACCTGGAGAACGCTCAGAAGCCCCCGCCTGCAGTTTCCCCTCAGACGAAGCTGCAGCAAGCCGACAGTGCCGTCAAGAAGCTGGAGAAGAAGCTTGAGGCCGACCTCGCGCGGATGCTCAGGTTTCAGAACGATCTGGAGGATGCGACTACCAAGATGCACGAGACCAAGGCCGCTCTTGCCAAGGCGGACCAGGATTACAAAAATGCCTTGGCGGAATGCAACGAGAGTGCCAAGATCGGGACGCCCAACAACGTGTCGAAGGCGCAGTTCACACCTGTATCGTTGGGCGACCTGGTTGAAGGCAAGTTCGATATCAATTCCTTCTTCTCGAGTGACCTGCTGGACGAGCTCAGCCTGGAGTACGAAGTCACGGAGACCGACCGCATGGAGTTCGAGAAGCGGAAAGAGTCGTTACGAGATGGAGTGCAGAAGCTGGCATCGGACCTCTTCAAGCAAGTCGTCATCGCCGCGCAGGATGCAAAAAATGTTCACGTGCTTCACATGTCCCGTCTCATCCCGAAGCGCAGGAAGAACAATGAGGGCGGCGCACATCCAGCTGGGGCGGCAGAAGAAGGTGAAGTTCAAGTCCCACGAGCCTCTGCTCAGGGCGCTGCAGCTGCTGCAACCGCCGAAGCTGAAGGTGATCGGGAAGCTGGAGATGTTCCCGTATCCACTGACGGCGAACAGGATGCAGAGATGGCGGAGCCTGCTGGGCATGAGCCCGATGGGCGTGATGTGCGTGAGCGGGCCGCCGAGGCTTTGGCGGCATCGGCCCCGCCGCAGGCGGCTTCCGCAGCTGCCGCGGCAGGCCAGCACTCTCTTTAGCCAAGGGCAGCGTGTCCTGGCCAGTAATTTTTTAGCATTTAAGGACTATGCCGACAGGAAATCAGTGATTAACTCCAAGTCGCACCTGTCGGGCATCAGGTATTTCCGTAGATTGCTGCATCAGTGCCCTGGTCTGTCGGGAAGCGAGCAGTCTGGGTTTCAGGCGTTTGCTGCTCCCCTCCTTCCAGGAGCTGTTGTTGTGCCCCCAGGAATCGCCCAGGCTCCCCCTACCTTCACCTCCCCGTTCCCTGTTGGACCTGCCACGGGCTCTGGACCAGGTGTTTTTGAAGTTTTTGAAGGAGGAGTTTCGGTGGTGTCTGCCAATCTCAACTCTTGGGGCACTCTCAAGTCGTACCTGGAGTCGTCGGACGCGTCGATCATCCTGGGCCAGGAGCATCGTCTTTTGGACCCTGACGCCATTGCGCAAGCCTCTTCGTCGGCTCTGAAGCTCGGCTGGAAGCCGACCTGGTGCCCAGGCATTTTTGGAGAAGGTGGAGGGGTCAGCTCGGGTACTGCTATTTTTGCGCGCGACGGCTTCGGCATGTTTGCAGCGTCTACCACAGTGTTGGTGCCTGGCAGAGCAGTCGCAGCCATGGTCCACGCACCGGGTTGCGACGCCATCTGCATGGTCTCTATCTACCTTATCCACTCTGAAGGTCTCTCGGAGGGCAACCTTAAAATATTGTCTACGGTGGGGGAATTCTTGGCGAGTCTGAGCTGTGAGTTTGTGCTGGGAGGTGACTGGAACTTGACCCCTGACACTCTGGAGGATTCGGAGTTCGACCTCCTGCTCTCGAGCCAGATCGTTGCCCCCCCTAACGAAACGTGTTTCCCCAGAAAGGGCAAGGCGTCGGTTTTTGATTTCTTCCTGGTCTCGCCTCATCTCCCGCGCTCCGACGCTCGCTTCTCCAGCCCTGGTCTCGCGGTCTCTTGCCAAAGGAACCAAGTCGATTCAGGTGGACACCCTTGCTGGTACGTGCCCCCACTTCCCCGTCAAGTTAAGTTTCCACCCCTCTTTGATGGGCCTCAAGGCTCTCGCCTTCCGTCGCCCCCCTCCGATTCCTGTGGTTCCCCCTGTGGGCCCCCAGCCTCAGGAAGGCGACTGGTCTGGGGCCCTGGAACTTGCTCGGAAAGGGTACGATGCGGTTTTGAATGACGATTTTTCTTTGGCTGTTAGTACTTTGGACTCAGGTTATTCCTCTTGGGCTAGGTCTGCGGAGCGGGACCTTGCCAACATCATGGGCGTGGAGCTCGGTGCGCAGGGTTCCAGAAGCAAGAGTCCGCAGATGTACTGGAAGCCAGTTCTTAGGCCTGCAGGGCGGGCACGAGACGCACATGGCAAGCCGATCTATTGGCTGCACGCCCAGTTGCACGCGCTGGTCTGCTACAGTAAGGACTGGACCGCCAACGCTTGTATTGCTTCTCATATCCTTAAGTCTCTTGCAGTACCAGATGGAGCGGTCCAGCCTCCTGCTGATAGCGACTATGCTGTAGTATTTCGTGTTGCCGCAAGCTTAGGCAAGCGTGGCCTTAGCTTGACGCAAGGTAGGATGGCCGAATTTCGATCGGAACTTGAGGAGTTGGCTGATGAGGTGATCGGTCTTTGTTCAAAAGCTAAGGCGCGTGCAGCCAATTCCTCGAGGACTGCCTGGCACGATTGGCTTCGTGCTGGTCTGGACAACGGGGGCCGCCGAGCCCACGCCGCGCTGAAGGATCCTGAAGGTTGGACGCCCTCCACCACTCTTTCCTCCAATGGGACCGTGGTTGCTGATGCCAAACATCTCTTGGAAGCCGAAGGGGACAAATTTGACGCCATCTGGGGAAGGGGTACTGGAAAGGGCATTGAAGATGACTCTATCCTCTTGCCCGCCTCCCTCCTTACTCCTCTGGAGCTTCGGGATATTTCTAGAACGTACCAGGAGCGGAGCGCTGTGTCCTTGGACGGATTTCATTGCCGCCATTTTTCTGTCCTCGGTGACCAGGCTCTGCAGGCTATGAGTTATCTTCTGTTTGTTATTGAAGCGACAGGCAGGCTTCCTAGGCAGCTCGCTTGGGTGCTGCTTGCGCTTCTGCCTAAGCCTACGGGTGGGTTCCGCCCTATTGGGATATTTCCTGCTTTCTACAGGGTGTGGGGGAGGTCGAGGAGGAAAGAAGTTGCGCAATGGGAGGCTGACCATCCTAGAGTTTACTGGGCCGCTGGTGCCAACCGTGGCCCAGTCGATGTTGTCTGGAGGCAAGCCTTTCGGGCCGAAATCGGCACGCGCAAAGGAGATTTTTCGGCTTCCTTGTTCTGGGACTTCAGGAAATATTACGAGCACATCGGATTAGGTTTCCTCTGGGGTAAGTGCCGTGAGCACGGTTTCCCGCTTTCTCTCGCCAGGCTGGCCATTAACGCCTTTTCTGCTGCTAGGTTTTTGGCGTTGAATGGTCTTGTTGAGGGCCCGTACTTCGTGGTTAATGGGATCTTCGCGGGTTGTAGCCTAGCTACTTCTCTGATCCGCGTTTTCGCGACGTCGGCCTTCGACGAGATCCCTCGGAGCGTCAAAATCGATTTTGATGTCTACATAGACGACACCTCTCTGAGCAAAACTGGTTCGTTTCGTGAAGTTGTGCAGGGTATCGTTCGAGGTGCCCAGGTTTTGCATCGTGCCATCACTGCCACTCTTAAGTGTAAGCTGGCCATGGATAAGATCGGGCTTGTGACGTCACATAAGAGTGTTGCGAATAGTATCCATGACCAGCTTGGGCCATTGGCTGGAGAAGCTAAGGCGAGCATTGTCAACTTAGGTATCGACGCTGCTGCTGGCAAAGCTATCCGAGCTCGCGGGCAAGGTAGAGCTTCCAAGCTGAAGGCTCGTTTAATGGCTGCGGCGCGCAAGGCTTGCAGGCTTCGGAAGCTTCAAAAGCCCCTGGGGCGTAAGGCCACCAAAATTTTTGCGGCTGGCCCAATGGCTGGCGGGATTTTCGGTACCGAGGTTTATGGGGTTTCGGACCGTGAGCTTTTAGCTTTGAGGAGAATGGGCATGAGCACGATCAAGCCTCGCGCGCAGGGCCGCTCGTTGTCTGTCATTTCTCTCCTGGAGGGAGACCCCCCTTGGAGGGCGGCTGTGGCTCCGATTGTCCGCTGGTCGCGAGAGATCTGGATTCTTCAGACTCACAGTTTCGAGTGGAGTCTGTCGTGGGCCGAGCTCAGAGACGGATGGGAGCATGTTTTTCTGATTGATGACCTCAGTTGGAGTAAAGTTTCGGGTCCGATTTCCGCGCTCAGGATGTCTCTGTATAGGCTGGGTTGGTCTATGCCGAATTTTTGCACCCTCACAGACGATTTCGGCCGAGAAATTTCGATGACTCTGAATTCTCCTCAGATGATTAAGTTGCTGTGCAAGGAGGCCGTGCTTCGTGGTCTGGAACGGGACTCTGGGGACAGCTATGGGGCGGGCCATAGGCTTTGTTGGGACGTGGCCAAGCACCTATTAGGCTCTTCCAAGGTTCCCAAGAAGGACAAGGGCCTCATCAGGGCCCTCGCTTGCAGAGGATGCTGGGCGGCATCGGACGCAGTGGCGGCTGGATATACTTCTATTTCGCCTCTGTGCGCGCGCTGCGGCCAAGCCAGCGATACCCTTTTTCATCGGCTCTGGCAGTGTCAGTGCGCAGAGGTCCGCGCCATTCGTGAAGTGGTTGTGCCTGCTTGGATTCAAGAAGAAGCTCTCGACACCGCGTCCGAAGGTTATGACCGTTTATTGTTTTTGTATGGTTGCTTCCAACACCCTGGTGATGTGTTCCCTAAGCCGGTCTCGAGTGGAGGAGTGGAGATCAAGTGGCACGTGGCAGAGGTCCCCTCTCCTCACCCTGACTCTCCTCCTGTCCCCCCATCTGATGGGCTCTGGGGGCACGTTTTTACCGACGGTTCCTGTCGTCGCCATTTGGTCCGTGAGCTTTCGAGGAGCTCCTGGGGCCTTGCGATGGTGTCTGACGACGGTTCGCTCCTTGGGGAAGTCTCGGGCCCTCTTTGGGCCCCTTGCCCTCAGACGCCCCAAGGAGCGGAATTCGCGGCGTTTCTCTGGTCGAGCTGCTTCGCCTCAGCCGAGACAGATCTGTATATCGATTGCAAGAATGTAGTCGACCAGGTGGGCCTCTCTGCTGCTCGAGCGTTCTTCCACAAAAAACAGTACGGAGGAACGATCTTGCAAGCAAGGCATCTTTTCGGCAAGTTCTTTCGTTCCTGCACGAAGGTGCAGGCACACAAGGCCTTGGACGAGGAAGGTATTTCTGCTTCCGAGCGCTTTGCACGGCAAGGGGATTTCTATGCAGATCAAGTAGCGAAGGGTGCCTTACAGAAGCACCCCTCTGCTGACCCGCGTGACCTTGACGAGCTGGACAGGAAAATTAAGATTGCAAAGCATGTCTTGAAGCTAGGTGCTGCTATTCTGTTGGAGTGGCCGCTCCTTGAATTCAGAGGCTCAGAGAGAGTCAACCCTCCCCTCTCGGCCCCAAAACTGGTGCTGGCTCACTCGTGGAAGCGCTCGAGTGGGCTTTGGAGGTGCGAGGTCTGTTTAAAGGGTTCCACGTTGCCTGAGGATAAAAGTCCACCAGATAGCGTGTGCCCTGGGAAGTCCAAACTGGATCAGGGCGTGCTTGAGAGACTAGGACACAGGGTGATCGCCCTGCCGTGCTCCGACGCCTCTCATATTTTCGTATGCTTGTCCTGTAAATTTTATTCGAGTGGTGCTCAGGTGCTGGGCCTCGGTCGCGTGTGCAGGCCCCCCACCGTCACTGGAATTCGGAATTTCAGGAAGCTCAAGAAAGGCAACCACCCTGACAAGGAGGGGGTTTCAGTGTTCTGTGATGAATTCAAAGCATTCGTGTAAGAATTCGTGGTTATGTTCTGTGCGTGTCTCGGCTCAG